CTTAACGGGACTTTTATCTCTACAACTGAGTATTTTTTCTCCTAACTTGACTATTATCTCTTAAATTGACTATTATTTCTCGTAATTTGACTATAATCTCCTAACTTGAATATTATCTCTTAAATTGACTATCATTTCTCGTAACTTGACTATAATCCTTAACTTGAATATTATCTCTCACAAAAGACATTTAATTCTTAAAATTTCCGTTAATACATTGATAGAAGTTAACATAGTCATTGATCCAATTGTGAAATCATCGAATACACATATCACCTACCTTGACACGAGCATCGTGACAGGTTCTATTAGTGAAGCAAGAACTACTTGCTCTCCCTGAGCAACTGAGCTGATACCGATTTTTGACATTGTGTTACACAACCTGTTTGTTACTCTGTAGTGTTTTGCGGTTTTTCTTCTATAGCGTTAATATATCTGAATCATTCTTATGATTTTGGATTGCCGCTGGGTATTTCTCCTCTTTTGTTAATATCCAGACAATTTGTTTTGTTTGCAGTCTCCTTGGCAGACACGTGTTACAAACATTTCCATTTATTCATGTTTTAAAATTATTTACCGCTTTATTATCATTTTCCTCAAACAACATGTGCCAAAAAAATAAATAAGTTTTGTATGTGAATTAATAATGGTGGGTAGGTAATTATAGACATGTCGCAAGATACCGGGGCCTGGTTTTCGAAAGTATCTTATGACTAAGACATGTCTTATGATGGTTTTAGGACATGTCATAGTCGTAAGATATGTTTTCCAAAAGTGTCCCCAGATACGGCATGTCATAACTTTTATCGTAAACTTGAGACACCTCACGACATGACTTATGATGGTCTTAGGATTATCAATTTTTTTTTATCAAATTTTAATTACTTTTCATGTTCATTACAATAAAATAACAGTTGTGTTGCTCAGTCGGCTAGATAGTAAAGATTTATTCTTCTCCACTTCGTCAATTAAAATTTGAATCTCCTGTGACGTAAAGTTTTGACTCCTTTTCTTACTCATGATTTTGTATAATAAATATATTTTACATCCCAACTCCTTTGTTTTAACAGGGGTGATCTGAGTCGGATCACCCCTACCAGATCACCCAACCTTGAGTTTCTTTGTTCTGCATGCTTTCTTTTGTTCGAATTATTATTCGGAATAAAGACTAACTTTCAAAATTTATGTAAAAAAAAATCCACTAAATTTCCAGTGTCTATGCGGGGAATCGAACTCAAGACCTTAAGCATATGAGGCCTCGATTCATACCCCCTACACCAGGGCGACTGGATACAAAGTCTAATTTAACATATTTAAACATTGTTTCCGGGGCTCATAAAGGGTATATACTATATAGTAATATATAAAGTATATTATAATTATCGTACTGCATTCTGAACTAGATGTTATGAAGCGTAAATGTTTTTTTCATATAGTCTAGAAGAGCTGGGATGTAAAATAATTATCCCACTCGGACTTGGTGTGTCAGAGTAAGATCACCCTCTGGCCTCCTGCCATCGTGGTGATCTTACACTGACACACCAATTCCGAGTGGGATAACTATAACATATATTATTTCTTTCCTTATATATATATAGTGTAGTACTTTATTAACGCATTTGCACGGGCATTTCGTCAAGCGGGTACTCGATGTACCGAATATTAAAAGTATTCACAATGAAATAACACTTCATGTATGATAATATATGAACGCGAAGTTCAAAATTTACTATATATACAAACTAAATTTAAACAAATTATCAACTCAGATTTTAACTCCTTTTCATATATAATTTCATGTTCATTATAATGAATAAAATAAATATTCGTAAATAATAAGAAGTGTAATAATTAGGAAGCTACCATTTGATTTTAATGGGGGGTGGGGGCTAGGATGAAAAATTTGGTCCTGCATTTCTGTTTTAGTTGTAATCTCTGTCCTGCCTTTTTATTATCCACTCTATTCGGTCCTGCCTTTTTTTTTTGCCAAGTTGCTCATCCTGCCTTTTTTCAAATTTCATCCTAGCCCCCCCTAAAAATCAAATGGTAGCTCCCTTAGTATGTTCATACTTATTATTTTCATATTTATTTTTATCATTTTTTAATCATTATCTAAGAAAAAAGAAAATCTGTTCACTTATGAGTCATAAGAGCATCACAGGTATGACTATCTTAGGACAGCTTTGATTTACATTCTATGACATATCATATGATAGTCATAAGATGGTCATAAAACTTGTCCTAATATATATCTTATGGCATATCTTAGGATACTTTCGAAAACCAGGCCCCTGTTGCTACTTCGAAAAAACGTGCTAGACCTATTCTAAAAACTGTTTCAGTACTAATATAAAAATGTTCGGACAACATGCGATATATCAAAAGAAAGCTTATTGTATTATCTTTTTAAATATTGCAAGCATTGTGCAGTGCGATGATAAATTTATGAGAAATAATAGTCCAAAGCTCGTAAAATAGTAATTTGTGTCCTATCCCGCGTAATATTTTGCTTGGTGATGTTAGACATATAACGAGTGTAGTGGATTCTTTTTACGTTTAAGTCTCAATGATAACATGCAGTTCATAACCAAATGGTGTGAATAATGCATCATACTTCAATTGTTATAAAATTACTTTATTTAGAGAAAGAAACGTTGAATAAATGTTCTGCAGAAAATCTGTTTTTAACGTTACAAAAAAAAAAAAAAAAGAGCGTGAGCGTGTTTCGGTATGTGAAACCTCTCTAAGCAATGATAAAGATTTTATTTTATTTTATCACATACTTTTTTCAAATCCATTACAAAACATTTTAAAAAGCTATTTTGATATGGATATCAATAGCGTATATGTTAAATTATAGACTCTTTATTATCATTATTCCCACATATAACGGATGTTAAATCTAATGATCACATTATTTTTTTACGTTATCTTCCGGGTCCTTTTCAGATAGAATAATACAAACAATTCCATTGGTTATCTTCCGGGTCCTTTTCAGATAGAATAATACAAACAATTCCATTGGTTATATGATGATTGGTATAGTTGTCATGGTTATGGGATAAATAATTGTACTGCCTGTGTATAGTAAATAGAGTATAGCCAAATTTGAGTATTTTAATGAAAATATATAAATATCTTAATTGGAATATGCCCTGCGCATGCTCAAACGTATTCAAGTTGAAAATAAATGTTATTTGAATGCTTATTCATAAGTTATAGTTTTTCTTCTAATTTTGATATTTTGGCAGTTTAACCCACTCGTGTGTAATAGGGTTTCCCAAATTAGGATCGTTAGCTCTGACAGTGAACCCCACTGAAAATACTATTCCTATTGATGATTTTTCTTTACCAAATTTAGAAGTGATAATTCCAAAAATGATGTCAGTATATTTGTAGAAAAGTTTCTATAGCAACCACTTATATAAAAGTCAGTACTTTTTCAATAGTTTCAGTTTATATATACATATTTCCCGAAAAAGGTAAGACTTGTTTCCATTAATGTTTCTACTTTCCAGTTTTGACATATAAAATGGATGATTTTTTTCTGAAATTTGGGTAACTTTTTCCATTTTTTGTGAAATAATGATTTGGTAGCTTTAATTATTTAAAATGACATATCCTGTTATTTATTTCAAACAAAATATTTATATTTTTAGGTCCGATCTGATGATCTTTCCAACTGATTTTAACAGTTTTTCTTATTCTGTTGTGTTACAGACAGTAACGCCATTGTCCCAGGTTAGGGAAAGGGTTGAACATTTACCAACAGGTTTAACTCTATCACATATTCTGTCTGTCCCAAGCCGGTACCCAGTTTCCAAAGATTATCACTGGTTGCTGTCTACAATAATTGTTTTTCGTTTTTTTGTGTAATATCACTCGATTCGTTAGTTTTCTTCGTTGAAATACTTCACATTTTGTAATTACGGGCCTTTTATAGATTAATCATACGGAATGGGTTTTGCTCATTGTTGAAGGCCGTACTGTGACCTATAGTTGTTAACATTTTGTCCTTTGGTTCTTAATGGATAGCTGTCTCATTGTCAATCATACCTCATCTTGTTATTTCTAATAATGAAACATATAGTGGAGTCTACACGAATAGATCTATTTGATTCATAATTAAACCCATAATTTTATATAATAGTGAAATTTGGTTTATGAAAGGATATTACTCCACAAATAAAACCAAAATGCATGGAACTAACTGTGATATTTTATTTTTGAAAGATAGATTCAGCTTTGAGGAAGAGCATCATAAATTTTGTAAAACTTGGAATAAAAAAAACCCCGTGAAACATAGCTGCAAAGTCTGAGTAAGGACGGTTACCACTTAACTCAATTATAAAAACTCAAGTTTTTATATTTTTGTAGAATTAACTGTCAGGAAATAAACCCTCTTGTTGAGGTGGTACATAACACTACAGGGAGATAACTCTGTAAAAATCAGTTGAACGTTTTATTCACGGAAATATTAAGCTTCTCAATGATCAAAATTAGCGTTTGTCAAACTGCTATATATCCAATGAAATTTTTCTGATAAAGTGTGTGGTTCAAGTTTTTTGAAATTTTTATATCTTTGTCAAAGGGTCAAAGTAAATATTTTGTCAAAATTTTATGAAAATTAAACGAGCCCAATTAATTTTAGTCGAGGTGTTTGGTACCACCTTAAAGAAGCTTTCAAAGAAATTAAAAGTCTATGCCTGAAGATAAAATACAAATGTATATACTTGGTATACTTTTGCAAAGCACATTTAACAAAATTTAATATTGATAAAGAAGAATATGTTGATTTTGAGAAACCTTTTAAATTGATAAAAAAAATCACTTAAAAAACAATTAAACATATTGTTAAAGAAAAGTATGATAAAATAACTGTTGAAAAATTTTTGAATATAGATAACAGTTACCTTCATTGTAATCGATTTGTCATTCGTATCAAATTAGTTTTCATCCAACTGTGAACTTCTATATATAGCTATCACTTCATCGAATAACAATGATAATATTTAATGTACCATGAAGCTAGGGTAACATAATCATGTGTAATTAAGTTCGGTTCAGCCGGATACAAGAAAATAATATAATTCTTACTGTTTCCGTAAACAATATACATCATTTAGACGTTTCAAAACGGAAAAATACATGATACCAACATTCAAAAACAACATTATTTCGGAAGTTATAGGAGTGTTAACTATTATATCTGACTGAAATTCAGTCACGGGTGAACAAATGTTTATAATTATCAACCTGTTACTGAAGATACGACATATTTATTTATATATGATGAATTCAAGAAAAACTTGGATACATTAAATCAAACAAAGAACGGTAAGTACAAATACATGTATGGATATAGGAAGATGTGGTATGAGTGCGAATGAGACAACTCTCCATCCAAGTTACAATTTATAAATGTAAACAATATAGGTCAAGGTATGGCCTTCAACACAGAGCATTGGCTCACACCGAACAGCAAGCTAGAAAGGGCCCCAAAAAATTACTAGTGTAAAACCATTCAAACGGAAAAACTAACGGTCTAATCTATATGAAAACGAGAAACGAGAAACACGTATGAAATACATAAACAGACGACAACTACTGTAATCAGATTCCTGACTTAGGACAGGTGCAAACATTTGCAACGGGATTAAACGTTTTAATGGTACCAAACCTTCTCCCTTTTCTGAAACAATAGTATAACATCACAACATAGAAAAACACACTATAAAATATCAATTGGAAGGCTTAACTCAATCAAAAAACGTAAATTAACACACAATGAACGAATAAATTTTACCTGTGACACCTGAAAATACACCGTTAATAAAAAATTACAAGGGATAAATAAAGTCAAAAGTAAATAAACAGGTTTAAACAAAGTTAAAGTATGATGCATAGATGTTTGAATATGGCAATAAATATACAAGTATATTATACATTGTAACTGATCAAAACCCCAACCCTTTTTCATAACACCCTATTGAAAAAATCTTTTTATTTTAAATTCTAATGTAAAAATAGCACCTTTTAACTAACCAATAGAATTAAATTTTAAAACTATTTAAAACTTTTTAATTCTATTTGTAAATATATATATTCAGTTCTTACTAAACTTTTTCATACACCTCAGCACATGTTTTTTTTATAATATAACTATTATGTTTAATTAATTTTATATTTTAAAACTGCTATCTTTTTATTTTAAATTCTGATGTAAAAATAGCACCTTTTAACTAACCAATAGAATTAAATTTTAAAACTATTTAAAACTTTTTAATTCTATTTGTAAATATATTGAGTTCTTACTAAACCTTTTCATACAACTCAGCACATGTTTTTTTTATAATATAACTATTATGTTTAATTAATTTTATGTTTTAAAACTGTAATGACTATCCTGTGAATTAATAATAATATTGCCCTAATTCATTTATCTGTACATAGGTTTATTTGTTCCCTTACATGTATGTTTTAAGGTGTATATAGTTGCTACAATTATACCCTATGGGTAGTGCTCCACAACTAATGGAGAAACATACAAGAAACTGAAGTGAACTGAACTGTAGTAAATCATTGTTATTATGTTGGTAAAAAAATCAGGGATAAATCAGGGATAGAAAACATCATGAGGGAAACACAACAATTTTACTTAATAATACTACGAATCTTCAGTGAGAACAAAGGTGACAACTTAAAAAAAAGTTCCCAGTTTTTTCCACGACCGGAAATTGTAGTACTACTCATGAATTTAGTAAAAAGTCGTGTTCAGTAATCAACGAGGAAAGAAGAACGAGATCTTGTGTTCATTTATATATAGCCAACTTGTAACATGCGAAAACATCCCTTGAATACATTAGAAAGGCATTCAAATGAGATAAATGGCATGTTGAGTACATACATACTGAGTCAAAGCCATTATTTTTTTTGTCTATTAAAACACTTTTGTCATGTATAAGAGATGCATTAGGTCCTCCTTTGAATATTTTGCAGGTATTCATAATCCAATATAAAATTCCGTCCGCGGCTGTAAGTACAGGAGCCATTTTAGTTTTCCGTTTTATGGTTTGATGCAATTAGATTTTCCTCCTTTCCGTTATTGTTTGGAAATATGTATTTGGTACCCTCTAACCTTTCTTACAACGGCAAAAGTACACATTAGTGTGTTTGTGACTCCAATTACCCCATAATATATATCTTGTATCTAAAGTATATTAATATATATTTCAGATATTGCAAAAGCGTAAATACACAAATAAGCAGAATGGGAGATTCCTGCAGTGGAAGAATATGGGTAAGTAAGCGAAGTTCTAATTATCTAATGCTACCAACGAAAATAAATCATGATAACAGCTGACATATACATACGCACAAAATAAAATTTGGAAAAGTTAAACAACCAAAGTTAGAAAAGTCAAACAGTAAAACATTCAATATTATAGAAGTAAAACAACCAAAGTTAGAAAAGTTAAACAACCAAAGTTATAAAGTTAAACAACCAAAGTTATAAAAGTTAAACAATCAACATTATAGAAGTAAAACAAACAAAGTTATAAAGTTAAACAACCAAAGTTACAAAAGTGAAACAAGCAAAGTTATACCAACAATATTAAACAACCAGTATTGTAAAAGTTAAGCAACCAATATTATAAAAGTTAAACAACCAATGTTATAAAAGTTAAACAACCAAAGTTATAAAAGTTAAACAACAAAGGTTATAAAAGTTAAACAACCAAGTTCTACCCACGTAAAAGAGTTAAACTGTCATACTAAAGACGCAACAGTAGGTATCCGAAGTACAAAAACTCGTAAATCCATTTTCATTACTCAATGCAGGATAATAAACACTGAAGGTATAGCACGAACTTCACACTAAACGAGACATAGACAGGCTAAGCGACGCATGTTGTACATGCATCACCTGCCACGCGAATTCAAACTCAGTCAAAGTGTAACGATAAATATCAATTGACTGTTCTGGTGTTGTAAGATCTAAGACCGCAAAAAACTTGTACTTTCGCGAAACGAGGAACGGCCACATCGTATCGGTCACATTATTTTGACGGTGACAGTGAAACTTGTGTAGTGTCTGTTTCAGTTGTTCTTTCTCATCACCTTTCTGAATGAGTTTTTGCGTAAGGAACACATCCCTGTTAATGAAGTAATATCTAAGCAAATGTACTTCAGCGTTTTGATCAAAACAAAAGTGCATGTGAACTCGATCAAATATAAGTACGAAATAATATATTATATAAAAGTCCAAATCCAGGAGTACATGACAAAAATAGTGAAATTAAAATGTCAATATGAACACAAATATTACAATTCTTAATTCACTTTCTGAATATTTATACCTGTTGATATAAAACAAACAATCTTTGTTCTCAAAACTGTCTATGCTTCACAGTCTCGGTTAGCCCATTACGAATGGATCTCTCATTTTCTTTTCTTTACAGGTTGGTGTCGCTTTCACTTTTATTACTACAACCTTCGTATTGGTAGGGATCATTTGTTATAGAGAGTTTATGTAAGTAAACACGTTCTGCTTATGATTGCAGTTAACACGTTCTGAATACAATAGTAGTAAACACGTTCTACGTATGAATTCAGTAATCATGTTCTAATTTTGATCGCAGTAGACGTTCTACTTATGATTGCTGCAAACGGTAAACACATTCTACTTAAGGTAGCATTAAACACGTTCTACTTATTGTTACAGTAAACACGTTCTACTTAAGGTAGCATTATACAAGTTCTGCTTATTGTTACAGTAAACACGTTCTACTTAAGGTAGCATTAAACAAGTTCTGCTTATTGTTACAGTAAACACGTTCTACTTAAGGTAGCATTAAACAAGTTCTGCTTATTGTTACAGTAAACACGTTCTACTTAAGGTAGCATTAAACAAGTTCTACTTATTGTTACAGTAAACACGTTCTACTTAAGGTAGCATTAAACAAGTTCTACTTATTGTTACAGTAAACACGTTCTACTTAAGGTAGCATTAAACAAGTTCTACTTATTGTTACAGTAAACACGTTCTACTTAAGGTAGCATTAAACAAGTTCTACTTATTGTTACAGTAAACACGTTCTACTTAAGGTAGCATTAAACAAGTTCTACTTATTGTTACAGTAAACACGTTCTACTTAAGGTAGCATTAAACAAGTTCTACTTATTGTTACAGTAAACACGTTCTACTTAAGGTAGCATTAAACAAGTTCTGCTTATTGTTACAGTAAACACGTTCTACTTAAGGTAGCATTAAACAAGTTCTGCTTATTGTTACAGTAAACACGTTCTGAATTGCAGGAAGCACGTCCAGCTTATGATTGCGGTTAATACATACCGTATGTGATTTTAGTAAACACTTGTTATTCATAAAACATGTTTTTCATCTGATTGTTGTTAAACCGTGCTGCTTATGTTCGCTGTAAACACGTTTCTCTACTGATCTCAGTGTACACGTACTGCCTCACATTGCAGTAAATCGTACTGCTTAGAATTTTTGATGATGACAGTTAACTTGTATTGTGCTATGAAAGCATAATGACTAAAATGAAACCAAGGGATCACTATTGAGTCAGCTTAAAATACATTGGACTAGTTCTTAAATAATAGAAATCATTACCGAAATAGTAATATTTCTAGATTCACTTTCAAAATATAACAACTACATGTAATTGTCGTAAAATAAGTGACATCGACCTGGTTAGAATGTGTTTCATTTGTTTGTTATACTTTTTTATATCAAAAAGTAGCGATTGTTTAAAAGATGGCAACCACTAGCGCTCACCTGAAATTATTACGATCATATAACAATTTATTTTAGTTTTTGCAATCGATCATTTAACGATACAAATACAAGTGTACACATGAATTATGTGATATTTTATAGAGTTCAAATATCACCTTTTCTATATAGAACAAATGATGTTATTCAAATGACTTTTACGTCACACCTCATTTTTTGGTCTTCCTTAAGTTCTTCGACTAAGCTATGACTAGTTCTGTGATAAGAGGCAACGGACGATTACGATATTGATATAAAACAAAATATCATATTTACAAATATCTATGTTTAGTTGTAAAATATCTTGTAATTAATTTTCGGCATAATTTTCATTAATACACCAGAAGGCTGTTTGCTAACTTGTTCCTACATATTTTCAGATTTCATAAAGAAACGAAAGACACAAGAATTACACGTGAGAATCTAATCAAATTTTACCCGTCAATATTTAGTATAAACAGTGAAAAGTACGTAGAGATTTTACTCGATGGTGCAAGAAAACGTACTCCGACGACAGATAGATTCAAGACCGAATATGAATGTAATTTCAACTGCACAAACAAATTGGAGGGACAAGGCAGGAAAAAACGTCAATTGTCCTATGTACACAACCATGCCTGCTGCCAATCGTAAGTTGTCTAATAAAACAGATGCTTGATACTTGGACTATTATACTAACGGGATTAGAATCTCGTCGGTTTTTCCTTGTGATATGACCAAATGACCGGACTACACGAGATTTTACTTGTGAGGATTTGGAGTGAAAGATGTCAACGGCTGTGTAAATGTATTATGTCCCAGCTTGATCGAATTATACGCGTTATAAAGTACTTTAAGTTTGATGTGCTTTCTAAGAAAAAAAAATGAAAAAAAATATATTTCTAGATAATTAATAATTATGGACAATAAAAAGAAGCATGTTTTATGTCTTAACTTTAAGTTCCACTTTAAAGATAACATCTCCTCAATAATCATTTAAAGTTTGTTCACTATCCCATTGAGCTTGAAATAACGGAAACCACAGATACGGTAAAGTCTGCGTCATATATCGTCTTACAATTGCTTACATCCACGTATTTTAAACTTTGGTAATCATACCACATCTCCTTATTTTTATATTACATTTAAATTTAGAAATGGATAATGAGGGCTGGTTGAGATATGAACTTCACTACAAATGAAATTTTTACGATTTTCTAGTGTGCATTTCTGCATCATTTCAGCATTTGAAATATATCCCCAGATTCGATAGATAACACAATATTAAAGGGCTTGTGTACCTATCAGTATTTCCTTGATAGAGTGGTCTTGATAATAAAGAAACTATTGAACTTAGGGTTGTAAATGTTAAATATTGCTTATATACCATAGGAACATACATTTACGTTCTTCTGTTAAATATAACCTCATGATTATACTATCATGTAGCATACTAGTATATACCTTAAATTTCTTTTTCTTCAAAGATTTATATTTTTATGTCTTACCAATTATGACACTACTTAAAATTCTTGAATGTTTAATTTTTAATTTTTAATTAGGCTTTTCCTTTTTTGTCCCCATTTGGTCATAAAGCTCGACTAGTATTAAAGTATTTATTCATCCTTGACATTCAAATGTTTGGCTTTGTGCCTCCTGATTAGGTAAATTCAGAAAAGTTCTTCGGACGCAGCTATAAAGTTTTATTTTAAATATAAGGTTCACTTCTGACTAGCTATAACGAAACTTTACATAGTTTTGTTGGCCCGAGCGGATCTAGGCGAAACAATTTTGGACGATTTTATACCAAAAGTTTATATATATCGTGAAATACGTGAGTTTTCCTTTTTATTTGCGACCCAAGGGGGGGGGGGGGTACGCCCGCCACGCTCCCTGGATCGCCATTTCTCTAGAAGAGTCATCTATTTATGTCCCACTTATTACATTGTGTAACTAATGTTAAAATCCAATAAGTAATAGAAAGTTATACACATTAAATAAAGTATTAACCCATAGGAACAGTATCTGAAATAGCATTAAAGAGAACGAAATTTGAAAGACTGCAATTAAAAAAAAATTGAACTGAATAGCTCTCAAGACTCAACAATAACATATTGACCATGTTCAGTCTTCAGTCAAGTTTCGGACTTATCCACTGCTGTAAATTCAGTACTGTTCAGACAATTAGCTTGCAGATCAATTAAAATATATTCAGTTTATGTTCAGACTGGTCAGTAGCTGCCACTTATCTGTAAAAACACAACAACATCATCCAGAGTTGCCTTAAAACAGATTGAACAGTGCTTGATTGACTGCTTGCAAATATCTGAACAGTACTGAATTGACAAGAAAATATTGGAAACAAATTTCTTTTCAGGACAAAGTTTATATTTTCAGACTTTCAGATGATATCAAGAATAAAATATCATTCGTTTACTAGTGCACGGTATGGGTATTAAATTCATTTTTTGCAGATTTATTTAAGGATTTCATGTGATTCATTTGAGTAATCACTTATTAGGTATTGAACACCACATTTTTCTGACATCTTTGTATATTTTGTTTAGATTTCCTGTACATATAGCTCCTCCTTTTTGGAACAGTTTATATAACGGATTGAGAGAGATAGTACAGTTTAATGACACGCAGTTGGGGTATCCATTGCTTCAAATTTTCTTCCAGGAACAATGCAGGTTAGTATTTGATTTTTTTTATGAGTGTTTCATGTCTGAGTTGTGTAAAATATAAAACCAAGACGGAATATATTATCCGACTAGAACATGGTCTCAGACAATTTTGATATCCTCGGCCGTTAATTGATCAAATGAACTTATAATGAATCTTTAATGCATCAAAAACTGTATATTGTGTTTCGTTGTAATTCAAAAAAAGTTAGTTTTGTAGTAATCTTTTAAAAAGAAAATACAAAGTTGGTACATTTAGGGAGCTACCATTTGATTTTAAGGGGGGGGGGGCTAGGAGTTTTGAGTAAAAAAAAGGCAGGATGACAATTTAGGATGACAATTTAGGTAAAAAAAAGTCAGGATAAACTTTAAAAAAAAGGCAGGACAGAGATTACTACTAAAAAAAAAGCAGGACAAAATTTTTCATCCTAGCCCCATAAAAATCAAATGGTAGCTCCCTTGTGTGACTCTGAAGTTTTTGTCGTTTAATATGAAAAAAGGAAATAGTATTGGTCTTTATTTTTAATCTTTTAAATGCACAAGAAAAAACAAGTGATTTGATTTTCGTACACGTGTACTGGAACACCTTTTATCAGGTAAGGGCTTGGCCACAAGTTTGGAAAGCGAAAAATATAAATTAAGGGTACGTAGTTTACCGATTTTCAAATCTCATAAATCGATTAAGAAGACAAAAGAAAGTAACAAACAAAAACTGAGAGAATCGCACGAACTTGTAATGAGAGAGACCGGATACGTCAACAGAGTAATCGTCTCCCGTTTTGCACGCAACATCCGGTTTGCTAATCCGTCCTCAGTTAAAATATCATAATCGGGAATAGGACACAATCGATAGAATTACAGATAAGACGACTTCTCTGGTATCTAAACATATAATACTGCGAAAACATGTTTCTATTGAGTTGAGACATAGTTATACTGTATCGGTCAATTGTAATGCTAACGTTTTATTGGATAAAAACTAAAAGTGCATGAAAGAACACAAAACCACATCTAGGTGTAATACCACCAAATCAAAGGGTCTAAAAAAATAATATTCCCTTGAATTTGACAGTTTAAGGAAATTAACCCATTCATTTCTTTGCAGAAAACAATTTATTAATCATAAACATATATATCTAAGGTATTTCAAAGCACCATTCTTTTTTTAATTGGTGTTTCGATAAAGTATTTTAGACACTTAAGGTAGCACAATACAAAGATTTTATACCTCCAACTCCCCAGTTTTAAAATGCTGTAACTTTCTTTATAATGCTTGAAAATTTATAAAAGTGGTATTTATGGATAGCTAACAGATTACTCTTTCAAATTAATGCAATGTTAGTATTATACAACAATTATGTAATTAATTATAATTTTAACTGTGTCTACAAAATTTTACAAGAAATTTCCACTTTCAATTGAAATTAGCTTCTTCATGGATACCCCGAGAGGGTTGACTTTATAATATGTTGTTCCTAGAGCCATTATCTACAAAAGGGTGTCTCAGATTTTGGATAGAATGTATAGATCAAATTTTACACCTAATCAAATAATCTCTACTTTTATGTGGTAAGGATGTTTACACTAATTGCAGATTTATGAGAGAATGGAATACGATAAAGATAATTTGAGACACCCTTTTGTAGCTCCTGCTGTGTTGATTAAGATAACGTTAAAATTTCTTGTGTAGTTATAGAGATGTCAGAGCTAAATTCATTCAAGTGATCTGACCAAGATTTTGCCATTAATTGCATAATAATTGATTACATAATGATTGCATAACAAAAATATTGCATTCATTTAAAAGATTAATCTTTTATCTATCTATATATACCTCTTTTATTAATTTGTATGCAGTCATAAGAAAGTAACATCATTTTAAAGGTTGGAGATTGGAAGTAAAAAAATCTTTGTATTGTGCTACCTTAAGGTGACATGGTTACTAAAGCTTGTAAACAGGAAAAGAAGGGGAACACATTTGATTGGTTTACGTTCGTTGATAGTTTTTATCTTATATGCAATGACATGTTATGTGAAATTTTCATGCCAGGAACATTTATTTCCTTATTTGAAACATAGAGAAATTCTGCATTCTTTATTGAAAAAAAGGACTAATAGGGGACAAACAATGGTTGTATTACTTCTATAAGGTCATCTTTGATTGAGAAGCAATTTAATATTTAGCACCTTTTTTGAAAGATTATTTCATAAAGAAGAAATTAACAAGCACAATGTGTTATTTAAATCGTGCAAATTCCAAAGTACTGACTACCGATAGGATGGTTTCCTAAGTCATTTTAAATTTTTTGATTCGTGCGTCATCGATGAGTTTTATGTAGACAAAACGCGCGTCTGGCGTATAAAATGTTAACCTTCGAATAGAGAATGGAAACGGAGAATGTGACAAAAAGACAAAAAACCCGACCAAAGAGCAGAACACAGGACAAGGTCACCAATGGGTATTCAACGCAGCAAGTAAATCCCGCAACCGGAGGCGGACGTCAGCTGGCTTCTAAACAATAATGTATGAACGCGACACTAAACTGCGAAACATACAAATTGTATAAACCACACAAGACTTTAAAAGGCTAGAGGTTCCTGACTTGGGACAGGCATAAAATGTGTCGGCGTTAAATATGTTTTATAAGATCTCAACCCTCTCCATACCTCTAGCAAATGTGGAATAAACAAACACACAGCAATACGCGCAGTAAAATAGTTCGAGTCTGATGTTAGAATAGGTAACAGAAGAAACTGATCAAAATGACAATGATGAGTTTATTTAATAGCCTACATTTGTACCAGCAGCGGTTCCGACTTAATGATTTTGATAAAAAAAAATGAAATGACCTCTTATGACCTCTTATGCACAACAAAAACAGTTTTAATTGATATTTAAAACAAAAGGTTGCACGCTTTGTCGTGATACGTATATTTCCACTCTTAAATCAGGATAAAAGGAAATAGGTGTCTGATAGACATAAAAGCGCTCATACGTCACAACTCATCAGTTACAATATATACAGCTTACCAAATTTGTAGTTATTCTGTTAAGTATTACCTGGGAAAAATGTGACGAAAATATTTGTTTAAAGAACGGACGTACTTGGTGATTGCTATAACATATATAGTCAATTCTCTTTCAATGGGAGTGTAATAATAATGAAGTTTGACTTATTTGTATTTAAACTCAATAGTTACGCAATAAACAGTAATAAACAGTAAAATTGATTGATTGCTTTTTGTTTGCTTAATGTCCTGTATAAATGTAAATCATACTGACCTTGACAAACGACCTCAGTCACTGTAGATATTTATGGTCAATGTCGAGAATTTGTTTCGATTTATGTACAATATAAAATACAAATATTTTACAAAGTATCATTCAATATGCAAAAGAAACTGAAAAAACATCCAAAACTTGAAATTTAAAGTTTAAACTATCAAAAGGTTAAGTGTTGTTAAGTGTATTTAAAATTTTCAGTAAAAATCTTTTTAAAATCAAGGGCAGATAATATTGAATTTGAAAGGACGTTTTTTTTTTATTTTTCAAGAAAATACGGACACCCCTATTCTTATTTGACATTTCGGAAGTATTTATGAAAATCAATTCCCTCATTGAATTTCAACCATTCTATCGGCTCAATAAGGAAAACAAATAAGTTCCCCTATATTAACCATAAAAATAACTGTGGTTTCGTAAATTTCAATTTATTTTAACGAAAAAAAAAACAGGTCCGTGACCCCCAGTTTTTATATTGAAATTTGAAAGTACATTGACCCAGAAGTCTTGTACAGACGTTTAAGAAAAAAACTATCGTCGAGCATTTAGACTATCTAGTGTGTACATTTGTATCTACAGCGGTTTATCAGAATAAAGTATATATATATATATATATATAAAAGTCTAAATTGAAAACAACGTTCAAACCTATGATTGCGTTGGATAAAAACCGCAATTTTTATAAGTGTGCATGCAAAACAAATTTCTTGTTAGAGGGGTCTAAATACAGCACAAACAACATTTTCCAAAAGACCAAAAAAAGTGAAAAAGTATATTCTTCAAGTATATATTTCAATTTAGACTTAGTTGTATATATATAGTGTTACACACCATTTTTTTAAATTTCTTTCAGTCAAGCTATTGGATGTACTGGGTGTACCTGTGAATATGTTGAACAGGCGACTACAGCAGTTGTTTATAAAGTTGGTTACAGCTCAGCGACAGCTACAGATATGTCACACCTTGAGATAGACCTGTTTTATTTACATGGATGTTGCAAATGTTTTAACTTGAATCAAACTTAAAGGCGTTTGCTTTGGAAACTAAAAAAACAAAAAAACAATTTTTGATCGATAACGTGTTAACTACAAAGGTAGAGCATACATGCCATAGTGCTAAGGAGATAACTGTACTGTATTTGAAGCGAAGCCTACGTTTAACATTGTTTACATTTAGATGCTATCCATGTAAATTGTTTGATGTATTGAATACACTTTTTTGTCATAGGTTATCAATTTAACACTGAACATGTAGTAAGATTATTTGAATACTGCCTTTTTCACACTTAATGTCTTATATCCTGTCGGTACTCAAATTTTTACATTGAGCTAGGTAATGCTTTTCTCAACTGTTTATGACGTACTCACATTACATATGTTAGTTGCTAACATAATATCTAAGTCGGAGAAAACTTGATTTATCATTAGGTTTAATTGGCTTTGCAGTACTTAGTTTTCAGGAACTGCGACTACTCATAGATCATTACGTTGTGTCTTTTTACTGCTTCCAGACAATCTGATGAGACAATCCATTTCTCTTCAGACACAGTATGTTTTCGTCGAAGACACTCATTAAATCATTTAAATACTCAAAAAGACTCCTTTTATACTTTGTCTGAGTTTACATCAAAGACGGTCCGATTTGACTTATAGACGGTCCGAGTTGACATTTTAAACTGCCCGAGTTGACTTATTTGACGATGCGAGTTGTCTTCATAGACGACCCGAGTTGTCTTTTTTGTAGACGGTCGGAGTTGTCTCCGGGCCGAATTGTCTCGCACCCCATGATATATCTTTGAAATATTCTACAAATCCTGATGCTAAATTCATTTTATAGACGTCTCGTCTGTTCTGTTTAACGCCTTTGAGTTTCTATGTCTACTTCTCATTTTCCGGCACTTGTTCGATACCTCCGCAGATGGACTGTTAGTCCCGGAGGGTATAACCAGCGCAAAATTCATGATAAGTGCTTCGATATTGAAATGATGTAAACATTTTCCCTCAAGAAAAGTTTCCCTTATATGATCTTGGTTTTTGTCATATGGCTCGTCAAGTATTCATATATCTACATCTATCATTTTTTTTTAATTTCAGTGTTCGTGATGAAGTTAAATTCTGAGGAGGTGCGCTAAGGGTCCCTTTCGGCCTATAAATTCGATGTCATTTTAGCTCTAAAGTAATCGCACAATACGTGTTTACATATTAAACTACCACATCTTTGAAATATTGGGAATATTGCAGAGATCTTACAGCCAAAAGTTAGCGCAATTCCACATATAATGATAAAACTTTCATATTTCCACACATATTTTGAAGTGAGAAATGTTGAGCGCATGCAATTACCACAATAATATTAACTCAAAAGGTTTTGTTCATGTTTACACACATTGAGGTATATCATTTAGCTGGTACTTGCGTACGCATTACATTTTGACCCAAACACATAGTAAAAAAAGACCAAAATGTGTGTTTTTATCTCTCATGGAAACACGTAGAAGGGCCTTTTTTCTGGACGACACATCTGCATTTATTGTGCCGTCATGGTAAAAATGTTCTCTTATTTAATTTTCCATTAACTCAACTTTAAACCAGACATAAATGGAAATATTGATATAAGTAAAAATATAGACCAAAAAGGGTCCTTAAGGCAACCTGTTATGATGTTATTTCCATACTGATTAATTCTGAAATCGACATCGTATGAATTTCTGAAACATTTGGTAACTTCTCTGAATTTTTCCTTTCAGTCCATTTAAAAACTTGCACTGCAATATTTTCAAGAGCATACTTGAATCTTAAAAGAGAAGGACCAATACCTTTCTATATAACTAATATTCTTTAATGTTGATGTAAAATACAACTTTTACACGAGAACATTTTTCTTTTTGGCAATTTCAGCATTTTAAAAAAATAATATAGCACTTCATAAATTTTATGCGTCTTATGAGCTTTTCTTCATTAAATCACTAAACTTTGACTAAAAGAAAAAATGGAAGGTACATGTATACGATTGTAAATAAAGTTTTTCCCGGATATGAATCGTCCATTCTAAAAATTCTAAAAACGTTTCTGCGTTCACTTCTATTTATTACTTATGCAAAATATAGAAGAAAGCAGATAGGCATGAATGTCATTTAAATGATCGAAAGCATATTATAGTTTGTCCTCGTAAGATCAAAAGTGATGTTCGATAAAGAGTTAACATTAAAGGTGAATCAACTTAACCTGTTTAAATCGAGAAAGCATATAGTTATATTAAATAACTAAAACACAACAAAAATCCAGACGGAACAGAAACACGCTTTTACATTATTAAGCAACAGCCTGCATTTGTGCATTGACGTTATTTATTTCAACGAGAAAACTAAATTTTACAAACTGAGAACAAAAGAAAATATGTACTGGACTGGTCATATATTCCACCTCAAGTATTTATTCCCGTCTTTTAACGTTTCTGACGAAAGAAATTCAGGAAAAACGGTTTGGATTCACCGAAATTTATAAAATGATATTTGTATTTTCAACTAAGCAGCAACCTACTGGGTATCTTCACCCCTTTTAAAAAAAAAAGTTGTTGATAAAATATAGTTACCTATATATATCCTGTCTTAAAAATTGTATTCTAGTTTATCTTTTGACTTAAGTTCAACATGATTAAATTGTATTCTTGGCATTATCAAGGTAAGTTCGGGCGTGTGTCAATGTCCGTAATCGATGAACATATTTGAGGTGAAACCGATTTTGACAAACTACGAACAATGAATAACTCATTTAAGCTTATTTTTACTATAGAATACATCTACCGAAGCTGACCGTAAACCAGAAATTGAACTCTCAATAGTCTATTTGTCTATTACCAATTTTATTCTATTATTACATACTTTTTACACGTGTCCCATTGTCAAGAGTTGATTGGTTCTATTCCGGACTAATATTGGACTACTGCCCATGCAAAGCATGATAAGTTGAAAGTGATATGTAGACGTCTTAAATTATTCTTAAGATTTTAGCTTATCAAAAGATTAAATGTAGTCAAAAGATTTTAAAAAGCTTTAGATTACACACATAACGCATAGATGATTTGTCTCTATCCGCTAGCACTTACAAACGGATATCTAGTTACAAGGTCAATTATGGAATTGGCTATTATATTATTGCATTTGTAAACGCATTGTAATGTACCGAAATAAGGCCTGGTAAAACGAAATTTACACACGGCGATGCTGTCTGTTTAACAGATATGGCGAGAGCACTAGTGTAGGATTTCCCAATTGAAATACGTAGTTAGTAAAGCATCCTTCGACCTTCAATCCAATTTTGACTCAAATGTATATATTATGATGGGACAACTCTCCGTTCCTTGTCTCTATAGTGACCAATATGTTGACATAAATATAAATGTTCTGCAACCTTTTGGTTAATGTTTGATCTTGAGGCACTTAAGGGATGATACATTTAAGTTATGCCTGAACGTACATTAAAAATATGTAAACAGGTATAAGTAAAACTTTGCAAACTGAGTCGAATCATTTATATAGTTTTTATTGCATTTTGGGAATTACAACCATTTAGTGAAAATTACCTTGACGTATTTTTGAAGTGAAAGGACATTATCGTTAAATTTAAATTCTCTTAGTATTAGTTAAATGTCATGTGAACATTGAATATTATAGTATCATATGGCCATTGTTTATCAAAATAAAAAAATAGTCCATTACGTTAAATTAAGATTTGAAAAGTACTTTTTCATCAACAAATGCAGACACATCCCTTACATCAGAAACTCTATTCAGTTGATAAATTAATTTGCAGGAATTTCCGTTTTTGTCTCGAAGTCGAAAAAGCGAGACTTAGGTGTGCTGTTTCCGGCGGCGGCGTTAGCCATGTATTAGTTTGTGATTAGGTCCATTTCTGGGGAACCATTAGCGGTAGGTCAATGATATTTGGTATCGAGTTGTATTAGCATTGGCACATTTCATATCAATGTAGATTATTTGTCCTTGCCCCATCAGACAAGGTCTATTAACTTTGAACTTTTGATTAATTTACATGCATTATTTTGTTACCATTAGTGGTAGGTCAGTGATATTTGGTATGCAGCTGTATAAGCAGTATTATATTACATTTCCATGGAGATTATTTGGCCCTGCCCTCTCAGTCATTGGTCATTGACTTTTAATGTTTTGCATATTTTACGTTAAAGTTTGTGATTAGCTCAGTTTATGAAAATCCACCAATGTTAAGTAAATGATATTTGGCATGCAGATGTAATGGCATTAGGTCAAGTCTAATTTTCATGGAGATTATATGGCCCCACATCCTTATCGTTGACATTGAATTTGAAATTTTTACATAGTTTACGAGTTTATTTTAAAGTTTGTGTTTAAGTTTGTTTAAAGGGAACGACTTATGTTTAGTCAACGATATTTAGTATGCAGTTTTAAAAGCATTGGCATTTCTTCTTTCGCTCTGCACCTTCAGTCATAGTTCTTTGACTTTGAATGATTTGCATAGTTTACATGTTTAAATATTGCCATTTTAATTTCAACATTTGCTCAATTTTGTAAAAGTCATATTTTATTGGATCCCAAAGGTGATTTAAATTAAGCTATGATATATTACGTGAGGTCAAAAGAAAACAAGAAGATCCAAAGGGTGGATTAAGGTATCCTTTCGATGCACTTTTACGATTTGATTTGAATTCAATCTTTAGAAATACAAGTAATTTAAGTACAAAAGATAGACTATCACAACCTTGGTGTTGACAGGAATATGATACAGTGGATAAACTACTTAGACCAATTGACAATTGAGGACCCCCAATGGGAAGGAAAAAATCTCACAACCATTTTAAGATAGCAAAGGAGTCTATAACCTCTACACCTCTACACCAATCACCTTCTTCGTATGTTCGAAACAGTTAGGACTGGCGATAGAATAGGATACATAAGTGTAAATAGTACAGTATGTGCAGACGACATCGTACTAATCAGACAAAAGAAGACCCAGTCCAAGCGCAAATACTCATTTATATAACATCTGATTACGCATACATATGGACGTTTACGTACTAAAACTCACAAAGGTGTCATCCTAAACAACTCCCACAAACGGTGTCAACAACCTAACAATTAGACTTTTAACATTGGGTCAAATTAAACTGGAAATATCCAACCAGTTTTCAAAATCAAGTGCCACGCCGCTTTAAAAACAGCGAGATTGCCAGTAATATTAAAGATGGGTACGGGCTCATAATACTATAGAGCAAA